GACAGAAATGCTAATTATCCTGGTTTGTTCACTTCAAATTATAAATATGTCTTAACTTACCCTATCCATAAATACATACGTGTATATAAACATGCATGTGTGTATATCTATGAAACTCACGTTTATATTTAAAATAAGGAGTAGATTCTTTTTAGTTCTGTGGATAGGTCCCAAATACCACATGAGACACTTCTATATGTTCCCAAATTATTTAGTTATTTATTGTTTATCTGCAATAAGAATTTTGTTTATCATCCTTTAACTGGCACTCCTAACCTAGCAAACGAGAGAGTCCATACCCAAGCAGATGTCGACCCCGTGCTGAAGCTGGTGCTGAGCTTGCTGTCCTGTACTCAGACTTTTGGCAGTTGGGAACCTGCACACACAGCTAGGCTACTTGGGCAGAATTGTAGATATTTATGCCGTGGGTGTTAGGTGTGCTGTCTTAGAAGAAGCCGAGTTCTGGTAGCAAAGTAGTTGACCAAAGAAACAGCCCTGCAGCATTTTTGTGGCCTTGGTATCATGGTCTTGTCAGCAAAGTCATGGGTTCTGATTAAACCCAGATTGAGCTGTTTCCTGTTAGCGTGCTAACCCACAGGGCAGGCTCAGGCCTCCTTGTCTGGCTTTCCAAGTCTGACTTATTAAATACTGTCTGCCAAGGGTTCCACCCTTTTCTTTTAAACTTCAATTAGAAGTTATTAAGATAATACAAACAAAAATAGGTTCTGAAGTCTCTTAAAAAGGATTATGGACCAACTGACTCTTTCACTGCAAAAATGAAACATTTTTAGTTTATCCAGGCTGGCATATGGCAGATGGCATAAGGATATGGTTTATTTACATTTATTTATTTATTTAGATGTGTGTGTGTTGTGTGTGTGTGTTGTGTGTGTGTGTGTGTGTGTGTATGCGCTTGTATGTATGTGTGTACTATGATGCATACATCTGGAGATCAGAAGAAAACGTCTGGAAGTCAGTTCTCATCTACCATGTGGGTCCACACGATTGAATTTAGTGGGTTAGAATTCAGTCTTGATGGCAAGCTGCTATACCCACTGAGCTGTCTTGCTGGTACAGTATATATGTTTTTTTCATTTCATTTCCCTAAAACTTCATTTCAAAATGATTTCATTGGTCAGCAGATAGTTCTACATTTTTGCTTGTTTGTTTGCTTGCTAGTTTTTTGAGAATGTACTCAAAAAAGCCATGCCTTGTGCACTACTGTATTATCCTGTAGGCAGATAGTTATTTTGACAGTCTTTTGAAGTACAAAGCAAAAACTATAAACCATCTTTACATTTTTAGAATTACATTAAGAAAGAGATTAAAGAGATATAGTTGTTTGAATATTGGTCAGTTAGAACTATCTGAAAACAAAGCAAAACAAAATCCTGGTCTATCTGGTGACAGCAAGCAGCCTTGAGGGCATTTATTAAGAATATAGAATATTTTTATATACTCTATAAAAAACATTATACAAATGCGCCAACCACTTAGCACCCATTGTTGAGTTTTGTGAGAATAATTCCAGCCAACAGCACAATTCTGTACTCCACTTTCTGAAACTGCTGCTTGCTCAATGCTCTTCTAAATCTGGGCATATTTTATTAAAGCTCATCTCTCAGGTCACCCAGGCTTCTTCCTGTTGTACAGATATAAACACTGAGGAGCAGGAATCAGTCAAGGCACAAAGGAGAATCATACATGCAGACTGAAAGAAAGAGCCTGGCTAGAACAGCCATTCCATTCCCTAGGGAGTGCCTTGGAGGCCGGCCAGATCTGCTCTCTGGCAGGAAAAGGGACCCATGTGGTCAAGTTCTCCAGCAAGCACTTTTCTCAGTGTTTGAGTTCTTGGCCACATCAATATCAGTGAAACTTTAGTTCTTTTAAGTCATCCTTACTTTCAGTAAGAAACATCTAGTTTTAGAGTGGAGTTTGCACTTCAAGGTAAGGTAAGACTCATGAAATTACAAAACTCCTTGGTAAAGGAGCCCTGATATATCACAAAGGAAGGAAGTTTAATCTAAAATTAGAATCTGACCATTCCTACCAAGGGAGAAGCCATGCCTTGTGCACTACTGTATTATCCTGTAGGCAGATAGTTATTTTGACAGTCTTTTGAAGTACAAAGCAAAAACTACAAACCATCTTTACATTTTTAGAATTACATTAAGAAAGAGATTAAAGAGATATAGTTGTTTTTAGATACACTTTTTTATTGTATTTTATTTATTAGCTTCTTTATTTGTTTATTGAAAAAACCAGCCTCACTTTGTATCCAAAGCTGGTGTGGAGTTTATGGTGTAGCTCAAGCTGGCCTTGAGTTCACAGCAGTTCTTTGGCCTCAGCCTGTGGATGGCTGAGCATATAGGTGTGAGCCACTAGGCCTAACTAATTAGCAGTATATTTTGTAATGTCTTCACTTAGATTTTTCTCAATCAAAGTAGAAAGTGGTAAATATTCATTAGGAAGTCCTGCGCAGTGGCTCACGCCTATAATCCCAGCACTCAGAGAGGCAGAGGCAGGCGGATCTCTGTGAGTTCGAAGGCAGCCTGGTTTACAAAGTTAGTCCAGGATAGGCACACAGAGAAACCCTGTCTTGAAAAACTAAAAAAGCAAAACAAAACATGAATTAGGTCTTTAGTGCATTGCAGTTCATTCTGAAGTTGTAGAAGATGTTCTCGGAACAAAGGGAATGACCTGGAAATGCTGTGTGGCGTTCCTACCTGCTAGAGTTTATGATCATATGTGGACACGCTGAAGGCTAAGAAAGTCAGCAAGAAAGAAATCTTTGACTTTATTTTGATTCTGTAGTCTCCATACTTGATATAGTACCCCCTTTTAAAACAAAACACCCTAGTGTTTTATAGTACATACTCAAAGCAGTGCTGGACCCAGTAATTAAAATGTAATTAGAGTTTGAGACCGTACATCTTTCACTCATTGTTTCTGCTTTAAGTTAATTGGAACTTCTGGGGAACAGATGGATACTGAGGTTCAGCTTGTGGTAAAATTAGTACAGAGTGAAAAAGACTGTTTCTGGGCCTTGGTCTGAGCCAACAGTCCAAACAGCCCTAGAGAAATACTGTTTGCTCTTCTTCCTCAATCAGATCTGTGTCCTTGGAAAGTTTTCTATTAAAATTTTTTTTAGTTTTTATTTATGTATAAGTATGTGTGTATGTGTGTGCGTGATGCCCACATGTGTGTCACATGTGTGTTTATGCCGGAGGAAGCCAGAAGGTATAAGATCCCCTGAGCCCAAGTTACAGGCAGTTTTGTGCTGCCTGACATGGGTTCTGGGAAGTAAAATTGAGTCTTCTGGGAAAGCTGGAAGCTTGAACTACAGTGCCATTTCTCCAGCCTCGTCCTTAGAAAACTTAAAAAATTAAGTGAAGAAACAAAGCCAGGCCCCGTAGTCCTTCCATCTGTTCCTGTCAGCGGCCAGACACGATGGTATTAAGCTATTCTAACCTAACAGGGCTTGCCACCCTGTGGGTCCTTTTGAAAGCATCCTGGGCTAATTTCCTTATTGTACTTTAACTTCTGACAGGGCAGGCGAAGAAAAAGCAAACTGCAGAACTCAGGAGCCTCAGTTGTTAACATTAGAGAGTCATGTCTTGTCACTCTGATTTCTGTACATATGACTGTCTCAGCTTAGGCCTCAGGCCGCCAATATTAAGTAATTCAGTTTATAATTCAGATAAGCTGCCTGGTAGGTTTTTTTTGTTTTGTTTTGTTTTTTTTTTTGTTGTTGTTTTTTGTTTTTTGTTTTTGTGCCAATACTTTTCAGCAGTGAGACTAATTATTTGCTTTGGAAACAGATTTACCACAGATTTCTTCTTGGTGGGTCAGTTTCCTCAGCACCCATAAAGGAGTTCAGCTTGGAAAACTACATCTGCATGTAAATTGCCAGGCACAGATTTCCTGAGCGTGCAAGGCACACCCTTCTTTTCCTGCAGTTGGATGCTCTTCCTTCAGCCTCAGTTTTCAAGCCTTTCACATTTTATCACCAATCTTTACACATTATGGGTTATGTGTGTTAATGTGCAATGATACCTACTGGTAACTGGAGGTTTGCTGTGTGGTGCTAGTTGTTTCTCATATGTGCTTATTCTTTTCTGTTTGCAAATTTCCCAAGAGCCGGGTTGCACACCCATCATCTTTTCCCTTGCTCTCCTGGGATAAGCCCCAGGCTTTGCAGAAGAGGTGGTTTGTTTTTGTTTTGTTTTGTTTTTGCCTCTTCTCTTGGTTGCTGGTGTATGAAAGTAGAATGTAGATTGTTGCCTGTGGGCTGATGGCTGTCAGATCACGTTAGGCCTCCACAGAGAACCACTGAGAACAGAGTTCCTCCTTCGCTCATTTTTCAAGCTGTGACCATGTCTGCTCGCATAAACCCTATGTAGTATATACATATGTGTATATATATGTATATAATATATTATATATATATTTGTGTGTTCTGTTGTATATGTAAATATATATACATACATATATATGTATATGTATACATATATGCATATATATATATATATATAACATTTTGAAACAGTCAGCTTTCTAGAACCATTATGTGCTGACTCTCTTCTGGCATACCTTAGCCGGCACTGTCTTTAAAAATGAGTTGGAGTCTTATCTTTATCAGGAAAAAGAAGACCAGATAGTTGACGATTGCTAAACTCCATCTGGGTGATAGAAAACATCTTTGATAAAGTATTCCCATCACCCTTGCTGTCACTAGGCATGCAAGGAGAAGCCATTGTTTAGCTATAAAGTAATAATCTCTGTCTCTTCAGAGAGAAAGGGAAGCCACCGCCACACACGCGCCTCAGTGGCCACCATTCTGCCACACTGTGCTCACAGGAGAACACACTGCCTTACAGGACTTTCAGAGAAGTTGTGTGGGAGTAGACTGAAGCACTGACTAACGATTTCAGTGTTTTCACTTTTGCATGTCACAGGGAAGCATGTCATCTGATGCTAACAATGAATTCGTCCCCTAGGTTGAAGGGGACCAGTTGCCTCCAGGACACACAGTCTCTCAGTATGAGACGTGTAAGATCAGGACCATCAAAGCTGGCACCCTGGAGAAGCTTGTGGAGAACCTGCTGACGGCTTTCGGGGACAATGACTTTACCTATATTAGCATCTTCTTGTCGACTTACAGAGGCTTTGCATCGACCAAGGAAGTGCTGGAGTTGCTGCTGGACAGGTGAGATCTAAGAGCACGTGCCCAGGGACCAGAGTGTGGCTCAGAATCACGGGCACTTGCAAGGCTGGGAGGGAGGAGAGATTAACTGGAAAGGCCAACCTTTGGAACGAGTGGCATGCAGAGAGTCAATGATATGGTCTGTAAAAATCTCATTCAAAGCATTCATAAGGCATAAAGGCTGAGTGCGGTGATATCTGCTTCTAATCTCAATACTCGGGAAGCTGAACCAGCCTGGACCACATAGCAATGCTTTGTCTCAGAAGCAAAAACAAAGAAAAATCAAGCAATAACTGAAATCTTTAAATTTAAACAGAAGAGTTATAAGTAGTCATCATAAACAGAGATTCAACTGTTTATAAATTTCAATTTCTGTTAGCTGCCCCTAATTTCAAATTGGAAACAGATTAATTTTTAATTTTTGTAATTGCTTTACAAGTACTCAACCAGCTAGGAATCTCCTTGTTTTGGAGACTGAATGTGCTCATATGTATGATGAGCACGTATGATCATCCAAGATTCATAGGAAGCAGCTGATGAGTCAGGACTCTGGCAGTGACAGTCAGCATTCACCATGTTTTCAGTGTTTAATGGACTTGTACATGAGTGATGTCCGTGCTCTATGCTGGAAGGAGCATGTGGACTCAGCAGTGGACACTAACCCACACATGGACAGCCTGTCTGTTTCCTCCTTACTTTGTTTTATTTATAGTAAACCTTAGCTATTTTATAAACACATCGTTATGTTGACTTAGTCCTGGGACAAAGAAAACTGTCAGCCAAACAATTGTTCTAGAATCATGAGACTCCTCCTTCAGATCCTTGTAGTCTGGGGTTTCCTGCCTAAGGAAGGAAGTGGGAGCCAATGCTTTTGATTTTTGTTAGGCTTGGTGTGTGTGTGTGTGTGGGGGGGGGTATGTGTTAATTTTAAAAGTATATACAAATCATGTTGAAAATGTTAAAAATTCCTATACCATGAAGGTATGAAAAGAAATAATTAAAAAGCTTTCTCAAATTGCTGTTTTTCTCAAGTAACACTAAGTTTTAAAATATAGATTTCATATATATATGAAAACTTCACATATACATTCTTAATATACAATGCATCATATATTATGTCTTTACAGGCTTATTTATTTGTTAGAAGAGTTTAGTGAGTACATTGTGAGAGGTCACCAGGCTGAGCATTGGCTACAGTGCTGCCTGACTATATAGACTTACAGCGCATATAGTGTATAAACTGAATCAATCAGAGCACACAGTGTATCCTACAATTTTTATTTTTACATGTTCATCCATCTCAGAGATATTTTTGTTTATTCAGTGAATCATCATTTGTAAAGGCTTTTAATAGTGGCTAGCATATTTAAAGTACAGAACAAGAAAATTTGAACACAGGGAACTTCCCAGAGACTCATACTCCAACCAAGGACTATTCATGGAGATAACCTAGAACCCCTGCACAGATGTAGCCCATGGCAGTTCAGTGTCCAAGTGGGTTCCATTGTAATGGGAAGAGGGACTGCCTCTGACATAATCTGATTGGCCTGCTCGTTGATCACCTCCCCCTGAGGGGGGAGCAGCTTTACCAGGCCACAGTAGAGGACAATGCAGCCACTTTTGATGAGAACTGATAGACTAAGATCAGAAAGGAGAGGAGAACCTCCCCTATCAGTGGACTTGGGGAGTGGCATGCATGCAGAAAGGGGAGGGAGGGTGGGACTTATGGGGGGATACAAAATGAATAAAGTGTAATTAATAAAACAAAAAACAAAAAACAAAAAATGTAAGTTGTTCTTTCAAATAAGCAAGTATAGGTGGATTTTTCTAGGTTCTTTTTTAGTGGCTTTCTAGTACTTACTGAGTTGATAATTTCACGGATAGCGGATTAAGCACTTCCTAGTTTTTAAAAATCTGTGAGCATAATGCCACAAGGATCACCTTTACACATATGCATGTTTTCTGAAAGCTTTTTGAGACTCCTATAATGATCTCATAGAAGAGCCACTAATGCACCACAGCGTAGAGATCTGGAAGCCTGCAGACTGGCCTCCAGGAGGCCGAGGCAGAG